TGCCTCCACTTAATAACTAAATAATTGCTTATGAGAATAAAATTTTGTATATCAGTTTGATATACGTTGTATACGAAAGTATATTATTTTTCCCCTCACAAGTGGTTCGGGGTAAGGAACCAAATAATTATATTTTATTATTATTGATGTGCGGTGTATATTTTGATTAACACCATAACGCTCAAAGATGGATTTTCAAAATTGAGGAAGCAATTTAGTTTTTCTAACATGAGGGGGAGACAAGATAAACAGTTGAGAAAAAGTTACATGGAATGAATTATCATTTGTTCATATAGATCCTCGAATAAGATAACATGAACTTGAAGTTCATAAAAAGATAATTCATCTGCAATATATTGCAAAGCATGCCAGACACATTTGCTGACCCAAAGAAAGTAACTATATTCTCATTGCAAATGCTCCTATTAAGTCCTAGAAGGACAAAGTCTATGATACGCTTAAAGCGTATAGACAGATCGGTTTCAAATAAACTTCTTAATAAAGAAGATGAGCAAATGATCAAAATGGTCATAAAGGAGGCAAGTGATCTAGAAGATCACATGACATAACACTTCATAAAATCTCAGGAGAAATTCAGGTACCTGAAAATATGAATGAAGAGATCTCTATGTCATGTCTTTATGAAAAATAAGGAGGTTGGAACCGATATAAAATGTTTGTTGATGACAACTATAATAGCGCTAAATATATATGAGGATCTCAAGTCAAGAGAAACGATGCAAGTAGAATTGATTTCATATGAAAGACATATTGTTTTGGACCTACAGTTCAAACACTTGAAAGAATAAAGTCAATGGTGTGTGCAATCACTTTTATTTATCTTATATGTCTAGCATGACATGAAAAGTTGATATGCATCTAAAGTCTATTTAAATGGCTTATTTGACTATACCTATATGACAATCCCCAAAGGATTTAAATTGTTAAAGCATATAGAATTCATGGTCATGAAGTACTACATCCTAAGTGCAATATTTGCACATATGTATCTTGCTATAACTATAAGCATGATAATATGATAGCGAAAATCTCTATGGAGATATTAAAAAGGCCATTCCATGGCATTTTATGAAAACACTACAAATCTATCAGGAATGATGATGTCAAGGTGAAACATATTCATTCAAGTGATAAAATGACTGATTTGTTTATTAAATCTTTACCAATGATCTTTTGAAGATGGTGCACAAGATTGGGATGCGAAGGCTCAAGGATGTGAATTGATGCTCTCATCAAGGGGAGTTAATGCGCGTTGCACTCTTTTCCCTTACAAGGTTTTGTCCCACTTGATTTTCCTTGCAAGTTTTTTAATGAGGCAACAAAAGGCGTATTGTTAGATATGTGTACTCTTTTTCCTTTTCTAGAATTTTTTTTCCACTGGGTTTTATTTTAGTTAAGGTTTTAACGAGGCACATTATCTGTTGAATATACATTCAAGGGGAGTGTTATAAATAGAATTTTATTTATGGTGAATGTCTATATTTAGAGAGATTCTAGGGTTTATTACTTGGTGGCTAAGTCAACCTCTCCCTATAAATAGAAGGTTCTATCCCATTGTAATTCATCCCATATCAATACTCTTCTTCTTTTATTATTTTATAACAAGAACAAATAATTTATTGTCACGAAAATGCACCAAAGTAATTGCTCATCGACCGGCTAAAAGTCATCTTTGCTTCAAAGAGGTCAGTAGTTCGACTCTCCTCAATCCAATCAGTTTTAGTGTAAATGAGGCACAAAAATTTTGAAACAACAAATGAAGCAATCCAGCTTCGAACCCACGACCTATGCTGGTTAAATAGAGCGCCGGACCAGTTTAGTCAAGCAATTGGTTATTTCGAGTGGTGTCACTTGAATTAAATTACCTGTATTTTGTTTCTGTCTTTTAATTATATATACATATAACAAAAATTTCCGCGTGACACCGCTTGGATTGACGTAAATCCGCCCATATATATATATATATATATATATATATATATATATATATATATTAAAAAGCTTTAGTTACTTTCTGTAAATACAATGGCACTTTTAAATGAGTTTTAATTTTCTTACATATACGAAAAAAATCCCAAGAAGAATAGGGTACAAAAAAATTAAACATTTTAATCGTGCAAAATGCAAATAACTCAAATTTTTGGAACCAGCATCATAATGACCAATATAATTCAGAAAAAAATAATAATCTTGAAACTTAACGTGACACAAACCAATTAGGATAAATGAATAATATTGATTATGGTCCTCGGTTATTGGTAAATACTTATTTCATTCTAGTAACATACTCAATCCAACATAATTTCAGATTTTGAGAGTCAGATAAATTTTTTTTTCATCGCGATATTTTCATATGCCTCTTAAATATTTGAATTGTTAATTATTTTGACTTATAATATTTTTTGTGTAGTTTTCAATATATTTAAATTCACAGTAAAAAAATGTATCCAGTGAGAATTGATCCTTATACCTCTTGGTAAGTAACTCAACCTTCAACCAAGTGCACCATTCAACCTTCTTAGAGCATAGTTATGTTAGAACATGCGCAGCGCAAGCAAGCATACAATCAGGCATCAATTACATGTAAACTAGACAACGCAATAATAACGAGATCAGGAACACTAACCTCTTGAAATAGTTGCACAAATTCTCCAAGCAGCAAGAATCCAGGGCTGTAGTCTTCTGCTATATGCCTAGTAAAACCTTGAACACTTTTGCTTTTGGGTGGGCAAGAACAATACAACTCTAGGGTTAGTTAATAGGAGAAACCTGTCTCTCTTTTTTCTTGTTAAATACACGAATTTTAAGCCCTAAAATAGGCTTAAAATCGTGTAAGACTAGGATTCCATAAGTAGAATCCTACTCTAACTCAAAAGAGTAACTTTTCTCCCAAGCTACTTTTTACCCAAGTCTGTCCAGGTTTTTACTAGATATAGCAGGGACCACAGAAATAATAAGAGGCTACTAATTATAGTACTAATTTGAAGTAGGCAAGAATTAGATCCTACTATAATTAATTATAATTTATTCCACTAAAAAACTGCAATTGAACTCCTCAATATGAACTTCAAAAATTCATTAACACTTATTTTAACTCCCCATGTTAAGATTTCAAATACCAGTTAATTAAACTAAATCACTGAAAATTTAATTCAATCAACTAATTAAATCCTTTATAATTCCGCTTAAACTATCTCATGTGACAGATACAAAATTCACCGACCGGGTTTTCACATGAAAACTTATAAGCTTATATAAAGGGGTATTATCAAACCCAAAAACCAAGTCATGGATTCTATCAACTAATTATTATTCACAAATGTTATTTGTTATTGTCCAATTTATTAGGCATATACTAACTCTAAATAGAGTCGTACCTTTTGATAAATCAAAACAATAAACAAATTATATTGATCATAATAATTATATCAAGATTAGAAGTATAAGCTCATTTAATGAATTAGAGAAAGTGTTTTATATGTATTCAATACAAAAATACATTTTCTCTACTTGGTCCGTTCAATATACACTGAGTATACTAGCACAAGAAGTTGGAGTAGACTTACTCCCATAATCAAGACAAATTATACAATAATCTTGTGCTACAATCATCAAGATATTTTGTCCGATAATATCTTCGATTGTGAACATAGTTTATTAATTATGAGAACCAACAATTTAATCTTCTGTGTATGAGCTAAAACTCCATACACTAAATTGTCTACTACATAATCAAAAGGACACACATGTTACAAATGATCTATTTAAAATAGTGCTTTATTGAATTGAATAAATTAAATAAACAATTGTTTCATAAAGAACAAAAAATAATACTATGTCTAAACCCCATGGTTAATAGTATATCCCAACAAGTTATTCGCGACAAAGTTGGAGTGGCCTCTGTGGAGGACAAGATGCGGAGACGAGGTTGAGATGGTTCTGGCATGTTAAGAGCAGAAGCGTTGACGCTCCTGTTAGGAGGGTGAGAGGTTGACTATTTTGAGAAGAGGTCGATGAAGACCTAAGAAATACTAGGGAGAGTTGATTAGGCAGGACATAACGCGACTTCAAATCACTGAGGACAGGACCCTAGATAGGAGGGTGTGGAGATCGAGGATTAGGGTAGAAAGTTAGTAGGTAGTTGAGAGTTTTCCCCTTTCTTACCAGTAGTACTAGTAGCACGCATGTACTTTCCTATCTCTCAGATTTATATTACACCATGTTGTTTAGTTTGTTTCAGTTATCGTATTCTCCTGTTATTTCTATTTTGGATGCTACTTATTGTGTTCTCTCTCCCCCCCCCCCCCCCTTCTGCCTTCTCTTCTTTCTTTTTCTTCTTCTTTCCCTCCCTCCTCATCCTCCTCTTCTTTTTCTTCTTCTTCTTCTCCTCCTCCTCCTCCTCCTTACTTTTCTGAGCCGAGGGTCTATTGGAAATAACCTCTCTACCTTCACTAGCTAGGGGTCAGGTTTGCATACATACTGTCCTCCCCAAACCCCAAGTATGGGAATATATTAGGTATGTTGTTGTTGTTGTTAGAAAATATGCACATAAAATATCTAATTTTACGAAGAGACCATGGGTTTGCGGGCCCCGTAATTATACATTGTCAAGTGGACCATTTTAATGGCTTTTTTTTTCGGCCTTCGCGCATTCTTTGACAAGTTATTACACACATTATGCCAATTAACAACGAGAGAGTTTTAGTATGAAGGGGAAAATAGTTTGAAAACACCCTATAGTTTAAGTAAGCAAATCACCAAAAGTTGATAGTTAAACGAGGTTTTAGGATATTAACTCTAAAAAATATGTTATATTTGGACTATTTCTGGAACTACATTCCTCTTAAATTGAAGTAACACTACAAAGTCTAACATAACCCATGTAATTAATGGTAGAATGGTTAAAAAATTTGCAAATATTACTAGAAAAGGATCAACAGTGCACTTTTCAATTAGTTGGAGGTTAAATATACTTAATCAGATATCATAAAGATCAAAATTATAATTTATCAATAACTGGCGACCAAAAGTGCTAGTACGGAACAATAAAATCCAATTTCCAATCAAAATTAGAAACCGGTCGTTTGTTCTCGTATCTATAAATATTCATCAGTTTCTGATGTTCAATTTCTGTCTAAACCTAATTATTTGACGATTCTCCAGCAGCGAACTCCTCAACTGTATGTTTCCCTTGTCCTTTTTGTCTCGCGGGTTATTTTTTACAGCTTCAATTATGCGTTTCTAATTGATCGAAATTGTGATTATGTAACATGCTCTCAATTGCTAAAAATTGCTTATTGATGAACTCCATTAGCCATCGACAACTATAAAGAGATATATAGTTTTAATGGGATTATTTTGCTTCTGTAGAAAAAACATTTATATGGCATATTTAGTAGTACTTGGTAAAATAGTTTTGTAAAAAAAGTACTCTAGGGGGTCGTTTGGTTGGAATATGATTTATATCGGTATAAGTTATGCCGGTATAAGTTATATTGGGATAAGTTATGCTGAGATTAGTTATGCTGGTATTGTTGTTTATTCATTGTTTGGTATGTTGTATTAAGAATGACAATTGCATAATTTCTAAGAAGAAGGTATAAGTTATACCGGTGCTAATTACCCCACCTTCTGTAAGGTATAAGTTATCCCAGTGTTAAAATTAACACCGGGATAACTTATACCTGGTTTGCTAACCAAACAGAGTATTAAGGTGGTATTAAATTTTTATACCACCCTTATACCTTCTTATACCTCATACCAAACGACCCCTAGGTGACTTCAACTTACCCGGTACATGTGCTGGTGGGAGACGCGGAGGAATTGTTGAGGTGGGCGCAAGCTGGCCTTGGACACCACCGTAATCAAAACAAAGAATAGTTTGTAAAACTCCATATGTTTAGTCATAAGGCTAAATTGAGCTATCTGCATAACAAGCTTTGCTCTGACATACATTCATTCCCCATGGGATTATTGTGATAGACATGAGTTAGGATTGATGTCAAGCATCTTAAAGTATGACACTACTTTCTTGACTAGAATTTAATGTTAGATTTGTGTATGCAACATGTCGAAATATGTTCTCACTTATATTAAAGTTTCCTTTTTGTTTAAATGATCAGAATTCAGAGTCGCCATGATGGATATCTGTAAGAGACTTGCGGTTGGAAGGGACAAACTCGATAGGTTTATGGATCTTCCTATTAATGTCATACATCAGATTCAGGATCACATGTCTATTGAGGATGCCGCAAGAATGAGTATTTTGTCTAGTGGTTTGAGATATGTTTGGGCTTCAAACCCAAAGCTCGTATTTGGTGCACAGTTTTACCTAAATAGAAAGCTACCCGGCAAAACAGACATCATTAGTACTATTGTCTCGCAGCACCATGGAGCAATTAAGACGTTCTACTCAATAATACATTCTCCTCAGCACTCAGTTGTTGATGAATGGATGCTATTGTTGTCAGGAAATGGTCTCACTGATCTCACCCTTAATAACCTAAAAGATGCCAAGGCTCCATATAGATTGCCTTCCTGTGTGTATGGTGTGGAACTTGAACGGTTAGACCTGTGGAATTGCATTTTCAGGCCGCCATGCAGTTTTAGGTGTTTCCGCAAGATCAAAACGCTTGCACTAAGGCAAGTGTCCTTTGAATTAGACGTTGCAACTTCTTCCCTCTGGATGCCAAACCTTGAGAAAGTGTTATTTATGCAATGCAGCGGTATTCGTCACTTGAATATATATGCACCAGAACTTATAACTTTAGTTTTCTTTGGCTGTGGCACTGACTGCCTTAAACTGGGTCCCTTCATGGACTGTGTGAAGCTGAAACTTTTTGCAATTTCATTCGAAGAAGAAGTTTCACAAAACAGACAAGATAAAGCAGTGAAATTGACAAATCTTCTCAGCAGCTGGCCTAACATTACTTTGCTTATGCTGGACCGGTACTTCCTCAAGGTAAGTTGCAAAAAGTTGATATCTTTGAATAGCTAAGAATGATGCAGATATTTGTAATATTTAACGTTATTCCTTTGTGGTTCTTTGGAGTCTAGTTTTTTGCTTCTGGTACTGGAGCAGAGAAGCTTCCCGCGAGCCTCAATAGATTGAGAGTTGTTAATTTTCACAATTACGATTTCGATGGTGTAAATCAAATATTTCCCCTTCTGTGCATCCTTAGAAGTTCTCCCAATTTGAAGGCACTTACATTTCTTGTAAGTAGTTGAGTTCTTTAGTTGTTACTTTTTTTTCTGAGTAAAGAGCTGAACTCGCTGCTGATTTTACCTTTAAACTACTTTTAGTTGTGCCAGAGGAAGGAGGGTGACATGGAAGTGGATCTAAATCTTCTTGAAGGACCACACTGCATGACACAGGGACTCGATAACCTTCAAACCTTTGAAATAAAAAATTTCCATGGTTCAAGAACGGAGTTGCGCTTTGTAAGGTTTATACTTGCCTCCGCTCCTTTACTCCAAAAGCCCATCTTTTTGGTGGATAGAAGTGTTAATGAAAGCCGATCCTCAGAAATCAGAAAGAAGTTGATGCAGTTTCCTCGGGCATCTCCTAAATCGGAAATAATATACAAACAATACTGTTGGGAAGAAGAAGCCAGGCGAGTTCTAGTTGGTTGAGATGGCCGGACCCCCTTTCTCATTCTTCATTATCTTCTTGCCTTATGTCTGTTTTAGTGACTAGTGTAGAGGATCCTATATTTCATATCTTGAATTGCATATCAGCCTTGGATAATTTATACTTCTGATTTTTTAATTATCCAAAAATTTTAATTTTGGTTCTTATGGTGTCCGACTAACATCACTTGATCATCTAATCAATAGGCTTGTTTGCTCATATTTTCTGCGCTAAGAGCGGTCGTTCATGTGATACTTCTACTTCTTATTTTTTAAAGTTTGGAATTGATGCATCTACGTTAACCAATAAAATCACTTGATTAATTTTAAGTAGTGAGTGATTCAATGAAGCACAAACTCTTAATATTCTAAAATGTGAGTAAGATAAAGATTAGCAAAATTCATGGTAATTATTGTGTTAAATACACTTCGTTAATTGATGTTTAACAACTATTTTAACCTTAGCAACAACTAAATTGGTCGTCAAAATTCAATTTGTCATTCTGGCCTGTGACTAGAGAAGAACTATCAAGAGCCAAGAGTATCTCATTTGAAGCTATTTTCAACTGTATCATTGCTGTCCTTTTCTTGTTTACTTGCTGCAATAGATGCCGCCTTCAACTTCTTCTATTCATTTTAACACATTGATGGAGCAGATAAATGTAGTGTTTTCCAATAGAAGTTTGGGTAAAATAAAAAAAGAAATTTGAAGGATTTGTGTTGTTTATGCTGAGATTGATTGAAGAACTCAGTGCAATTGTTGAAGGACTGCATTTTTTCTGTAGAATATCAGAAGCTGATGCGTGAAATATGCTGAGAGATCTGGTGTAAGTAACTAAATATGTATATTGATACTGTATTTTTGAAGGCAGCGAGCTAGAGACTGAAATTAAGCTATTACTGGTCATGAGCCGACCCAACTTGTTTGGGACTGAGACGTAGTTGTTTTTTGTTTGTATTCCTCCTTTCTGTTAACTATTATCGTGCATCTTTTCTTCTGTATGTAGCATCCAGGGGAACGCTACAAACTGCTTTCAACTTGTGACTGCTTTTTCCATTTGCTACAGTATATTGGTGTAAAATGGTTGCCAGTCATAGACTTTGATAAGCTCTTCTCCCTTTGTGGGCTATCTCTTTTTAGCACCATTGCTGCTTCATAATCAGCCACATTTTGATGGCAAATTGAAACTCAAAATGGATGCACCTGTTTCGGACTGAGTTTAGAGTTCTGATACAAATCTCTATATCACTGACACAGTTAATGTATAGATTCAGAAATACAGAAACATGGTGAATTAACACCTTAGTAGAAGAAACGCTCTTTAAGGGGTGATGTAGAAAGGGAAGTGTTGAATTGTTTTCTACTCTTGTATATTGATCCACATGAGGAAGAGACTCGATAGCGGTTTATATATCCTTTAGCACTCCATACTTGCCGTCCCTCCAATTTTGGCAGTGTCGAAATTGGTGTGCTTGTCCTGTGAACTCCATGGACAAGTGCTGTTAGGGCTAAAGAGTGGCTGGTGCCATATTAAGAGCTCACCGAGTAAAATCCTTGTGCCTATTTTAACAGCTGATCCTAATTCATGCTCGTTTGTTATTTCATTGTCAACCACAGTAATATTCTGAGTTTTTGCAGAAAATGATTAATGATTGGCTAGTGTCGATAGGAATAACAAGAACCAAGAAATGGCTAGCGTATATAGAAGGTGACTTTGGCATATCTCTCTCTCTCTCTCTCTCTCTCTCTCTAGTAGGTTCTTTGAGAAGTAAGACGTGGTTTGAAGTTGCAGAAGAATCAGATACATATAGTTTCCAGGGCATAAGTAGTTTGTGCTTTCTATAGCTTGTTGGTTTGGTGAAAAGAGTGATATTCTTTGTATTGCTTATCTTGCAGTTGATGGATGTTAGGATCGGGAATCCGGGTAGTGTGGAATTTAGCCAAACAACGTTATAATGACAATAACAAAGACAATACAAGTTGATAATAACGGTAATTAAAGCAGATAAAGAAGGCACAAAATTTAACGTGGTTCGGTCAAGGTGACCTACGTCCACAAGCGGAGAGGAGTAATTTCACTATAACAATCGGCACACAAAAGAGAGTACAAAATTAGAGATGAAACTCTAATTATCCCAAAATATATCCCAAGAGAATAACCTCGCAATAATCACTCACAAGGAAGAGGTTCACTCAAAGTGTTTCCCAACACTAACTCTATGGAATACAATAAAACTCTCTATTACAAGAATACTCAAAGTGAGCTTTTGATCAAAACATGGGATGATTCAAATGAAGTAAGATGACCTATATTTATAGGGAAAAGTTCTTGGTCCCAAGTAAAGAAAAAAGAATAAAAGAAAATACTTTTATTTTTTGGCTCCAAGCTAGAATTCTTTGGCTCCAAGATTGAATACTTTGGCTCCAAGATTAGCCATGAACAAATTTAGACCATGTCTTACAAATCTCCACCTTGGCCTAAATTGGATGATATAGTTATTTTACTTCACCTCCAAAAAAAGCCCCAATGGGCTTATATCAAAAATTTAATGCATTCAAATTCAGACAAGTTGTCTGATATTGAAACTGTATTAGTGCCTATAACAGTAGATCACAATAAAGAATACAATGAACCATATCTGTGTGCTTTCATGATCACTAGAGCACCTTGAAAAATTTTCAGAACTCCGCCTTCACCAATGAATTTGCACCCAAGAGATTCTAAAGTGCCCAAAGAAATAAGATTTTTCTTCAACTCAGGAACATATCTATCATCGGTGAGAGTTCTCACCACACCATCATGCATTTTAATCCGAATTGTACCTTTGCCAATAACGTTACAAGTAGCATTGTTACCCAATTGGACAACTCCACCTTCAACCGAATCATATGTAGAAAACAAGTCCCTGTTGGGACACATATGATACGAACAACCAGGATCTAAAATCCACTCATTGTTAGATGTGAAACTAGTTTCAGTAGCTAAAAATATAGTTCCCTCAATCTCATCAGTAGCTAAACTAGCTTCGGCGGTGTCAGTATCTTTGTGCTCATTTTTTCTTTCCTTATGCTTTTCTTTATTTTTCAACTTATAGCATTCGGAGATAATGTGACCTTTCTTATGATAATAGCGACACTGTAAAATATTGTATCTGGATGTTGAGTCGGATTTACCCCTAACGAACAAGCCAACTTCTGCTTGAGTTCCACTAGCTTCCCCAGTAATATCACTATCTATCTGTTCTTTCGATTTTAAGATAGATTTAATATCCTTATAAGAGATATTATCTTTTGCATAAAGCATAGTATCTCTTATATGCTTAAAAGATGGGGGTAGAGAACAAAGCAGTAATACGGATTGGTCCTCATCTTTAATTTCTGCGTCTATATGACTTAAATCCATAAGAATGGAATCAAAGGTGTCAAGATGAGAGAGAATAGAGGTACCTTCACCCATACGAATTGTAAAAAGCTTCTGCTTCAGGTAAAGTCCATTTTCCACCATTCTCTTCATATATATGGTTTTTAAATTTTTTCCACATGCCTTTGGCTGTGGTTTCTACAGAAACTTCACGTAAAACCTCATTTGAGAGATTTAAGATGATACCTGATTTTTCTTTTTTATCTATGATAGCGAACTCCTCGTCCGTCATTTTATCCGGCTTTTTCTCCTTTCCTTGCAACGCCAAGTCTAAGCCATCCTGAATTAGGATAGCTTCCATCTTTAATTGCCACATCCCGAAGTTTGCACTTCGATCAAATTTCTCAACATAAGTCTTTGTTAGAGTCATATTAGCTACTTAAACTACCCCGGTTAGATCCAGCTCTGATACCAATTTGTTAGGATCGGGAATTCGGGTAGTGTGGAATTTAGCCAAACAACGTTATAATGACAATAACAAAGACAATACAAGTTGATAATAACGGTAATTAAAGCAGATAAAGAAGGCACAAAATTTGACGTGGTTCGGTCAAGGTGACATACGTCCACAAGCGGAGAGGAGTAATTTCACTATAACAATCGACACACAAAAGAGAGTACAAAATTAGAGATGAAACTCTAATTATCCCAAAATATATCCCAAGAGAATAACCTCGCAATAATCACTCACAAGGAAGAGGTTCACTCAAAGTGTTTCTCAACACTAACTCTATGGAATACAATAAAACTCTCTATTACAAGAATACTCAAAGTGAGCTTCTAATCAAAACATGGGATGATTCAAATGAAGTAAGATAACCTATATTTATAGGGAAAAGTTTTTGGTCCCAAGTAAAGAAAAAAGAATAAAAGAAAATACTTTTATTCTTTGGCTCCAAGCTAGAATTCTTTGGCTCCAAGATTGAATACTTTGGCTCCAAGATTAGCCATGAACAAATTTAGGCCATGTCTTACAATGGATTATGTTTCTTTCTGGCTATGGCTTTCATGATTACATATATCTAGTTAAGCCATGGACGGTGGGCCAACTTGATCTAGGCTTAAAAGTCAACCCTTAGTCCACTCTACTCAAGTAACGGGTTGGGTTGGGCCGGCATGATAGGACAAACCCATTTTGACGGCCCTTGAACATTTCATCATCTTGGTCGGTGAGAGATAGTGTTTTTCATGTATAATTTGACTAATTTGCTAGCAAACAACGATATGTAATAAAGTATTTTCATGATAAGAGCTTATTCAAGTTCTTTTTGGTTCCCAAAAAAATCTAAAATTAAGTTCATGGAAAAGATGTATGCTCAATACATTCCTGTACCAGACTTCAAGGCCACAATTGTTCTTCGACAAATGCAAACGGACAACACTTTTTATAAAGACTACATTTGCAAGAAAAGAGCTTGCAGAAAATCGAAACCAAACCAACCCGATATTATAAGTATAGAATTTTTAAATGTATTAAATCATAAAAATATTTATTGTTGTGTAGTTTATAAATATTTCTTAAGCTTTTTCATAGTTTTATCTTTTAACGTATTATATCAAGTTTGGACTTATAATTTTTGGATGATCCAATAAGTTTTATAGTCCATAAATATTAATAACTCAAATAAATCCTAAATCAAAATCAAATCAATACTAATTGTAATAAAAGACATGCAATTCAATTGTACTATGAATGCAAATAGTGTTAGATATCTATTTTTTTTTAGTTTTTTCATAGTTTAGA